GATTCACACCCCGTGTTTCTGCAGAGGGGGATCCCCCGAGTCACCTGCGGGTTTGGAGGGGTCACAACAAACACCTCCCGTGGAACTGGAGTCGTTTAAAATCAGAGAGACTGAGCACCAACAGCCAGAGCCCTGCAGGAACAGTGTGGGGCACACCTGGAGCAGCACAGGCTGGGGATGGAGGGGATGGAGAGCAGCCCTGAGAAGGGGTGTTGGTGGGCCAGTGTGCCCCAGGCTGACCAAACCACTCTGGGATTCTATTCCCTGCTCCTGTGTTCCCTGAGACAGAAGGGCTGTGCCAGCAGTGGCACTGGGTGACACTCACACCCACCAGGACAGGACATCCCAGCATGTTGCTGGGCACGGGGACAGAGAAAAAGCTGAACCTGTTTTTTATTATAATCCCCATTTTCAGAGGGATTTCAAATTCACCCCCAGGGCCACGTTCATAGGTGTCACCTGTTCCCTGGGCTGGGCAGGAGGAACCACTGCTGTCACACAGGGTCAGTGGCACTCCCATTTTAGGGAAAAAAAGGCAGATCCGTTCAAAGGCAATGAGGAAGATGAGTGTCACCTACAAAAGATTTGTAGTGAAGTAGAACAAGAAAACCCTCCCTCTGAAGCAGAGACTGACTTGGATTTTCAGACTACAGAGTAAGAATCAGTTACAGGAACTTTGGCTTGGATATTACTTTATTATCAAACCCAGAGCCATTCTGTCTTGTCTACCAGTGACACTACAAAGTGTCCACACAGAACCCCTCCAAGGCTAAAGACAAACACATTCCACACCAGAACAGCCTCTGTGCCAGGTGATCCTCACCCTGCCCTTCCCAGACAGGAGGAACACCTGCATGTCACTGCTGCCACCCTGCCCGAGCCCAGGGCTGGGCCTGGATACACAGGAGTTATTCTGGATCACGGGATTTACCTCAGCTCTTAAAAACCTTCTCTGCACTCAGGGATGGTCGGGTTTGACTGAGGTGAGGAGGAGGAAACAACAACTGAGAGCATTCCCTCTGCAGCAGAATTCCACAAACTCTCCTTGATCCCAGGTGCAGAAGGAGAGAGGAC